CCCCCCTCTGCCATACATTATGAATGCAGCCTTAAATAAAGTGCATGGTCAGGTATTCTGAAGTTCAAACCCTCCTCCCCCTCCATTTTACTGGTAAAAAAATTCCGATCCTCCCTAAATTTCACCTGCCCTCCCCTCCCCCACTGCCATACATAATGAACGCAGCCTAATAACAAATAGGCTATTGGAAAGAGATTATTTAGCACTGAATGCCTAGGATGTGTTTGTTTGTAAGACCTTCGCATGAACAGCCAAAAGACGTTGTATTTCTTCCTGATAGTTGATATCTTCCATGTCAACAGCTCTCAGATGAAGCTTGGGCAGAATTAAGGTTGAATACTCGGTCTGGTTGATCATAACAGGCCTTGTGTCGTATCCTGCAGAATAAGAGTAGGTATGCAACGGTTCGTGATTCAAATAACTTTTTATTGTGGCTGAAAATACAGCTACCAGCTTTTAATTTCAAAATGTTAAATCCTCGTGCAGACACACGGCGCAACATTGTTGCATGCAATATTCAGTAGTTGAGTCATGCTATACTTTTGCGACATCGCGCGCAACAAACTTCATCGAGTGAAAATAGCTGTAACATTGCTTGCAATTTGAAATCAAGTTTAACCAACCTGGTTACACTAAAAACAAAACCGCTGGCTGAAAGGTTTAGTATAGGAAATGTTCGGAGATGTGGTAATCGAAGACGCCATATTAGAACTATGGAGTGTGATATTGTTGCAAAGTGTGTTACCACCGGTTTAAATTTGTCTCGAGGAATTAATCTGAATACAAGTTGTCGATCTTGTGAGCTGTTCTTTAGATAAGGTCAGTTTTGTTGCATGTTCCCCGTTGCATGTTCCATAACAAGCCCGAACTGCACTATGGAAGATAATTCGGCGAAAGAGCGTGAAGAAATTTTCCAAGACTGTTGCAACTTACAGCATGCAGGCAATATGTAAAAAAAAACGTTCAACAATCTTTTAAAAGGGTAGATTATACACCGTGAAAAGATGAAAAAACTTACTGACTTAAGGACTAGCTAGATTTTTCATCTTTTCACGGTGTATAATTTACCTTTTTATCGTTACTGTTTCATTAGAAACACCGACGCAGCTCACACTAGTTTTTAGCTAGTTATCTCTTTTTTTTGAAATAGCTGTATTTTGGAAAATTTGTTTATCACTCCTCCCCTCCCCTTGCGCAGATGTTTACAAGGACAGGATTTTTTATGATTGAAGTAGATGAAATCCAACTGACAAACTGTTCGAATATTGTCTTTTAGTGCCTTTTTGGTGATTTAGGAATACATGTTGAAAACTAAATTACAAAATAATTGGGATAGAACGCGCGCTACGATTGGTCGAAAACCATGTTTGATGAGGGTATCAAAACACGCTTGCGTCACCCTTTTTTTCGTTTTTTGGCGCGTTTGTTATTTTATAAAACAGATAAAAAAACAGTTTTCCGTGTTTGACATTGACCAAAACACTTGGGATGTTGAGAGAACACTCGAGAAGCTGGAAACCACTCCGCTACGCGTCGTGGTTTCCTACGCTACGCTYCTCTCGTGTTCTCTCAACATCCCGCGTGTTTTGATCAGAGTGTCAAACACGGAAAACTGTTTTTGATCTGTTAAATTAAACTAAAATGTGACTAGCCAGTTATACAAACGCCAAAACCACACTGCACTACTAAAATGTACTCAATTAGCTTCATCAGAGTGATTCCTGCATGCATACCCCTTTAACCAATAAACCCCTTGCAGTACGTAGGAATGCAGCTCAATTTGAAGGGCATACAGTTCTCAGGACATTGAAATTCTTTTATTTTTTCCCCTCCAAATCCAGCTGCTTTGACGTCACATGCAATGGGTCTATTAAGGGTTTTGAGTTTTACGCATAGCCTAATAATCAAACTACAATTTTACTTTGTTACCTTTTCTTGTCTGGCCGACTTCAGGTTTACTCATCATACTTCCTGAGTGTTTACAGTAGATGTTGATAGATCTCTTGACTGCTGACGAACAACAGTGATCTGCAAGGATTCTATTGGCATCGGCATATCTTGAAACCAGGTGTGAAGCGTCTCCCTAAAATGAAAGAATGACAAGATAAGTACCTTTATTACAAAATGCAGCTGGAAAGTTTCTTTCATTACTCAGTTCCAGAATGAGAACATAAAACATTTTAAAAATCAAAAAACTGGTGTTGGAGTTTAAGGACTTATTGTAACTCATCATTTCAATTTCGAAATTTGGGCAGGTGAATGGAAGCGCAGATGCTAACATTTTCACTCAAGACACGTAGAGGGACGTCAACCACCCCGCTCCACACAAAAAAAAATTGTTTAAAATATTATCTTCAAATTTTGCGGAGAAATGTCCCATTAAAGATATACGTCTACCAAGCTAGTAAATAAATGTTTGAAGCAATAGGTTCAGACCACAACCTGGATTGTGGTTTAGTGTTCTAACTAACAGAGTGRTAGATAATACAGGTAGCCTTAAGGCCCGCACAAGCTGTGCAACTGTTGCGCATAACGTTTTCAAAGAGTTGTGGTCTGACGTAGCTTTAAAGGGACGTTTTTGCGCAAGATTTACAGAGGGATTCCATAAGTAGCAAATTCCTTTCCAGAAGCAAAACAAACCGCCCAGTTAAAGTAATACATTACAGCGCTTCTGAATCACACGCGCCAAGTCGTACAATTTCCCGTCACGACGAATAGAAGTAGGTTTTGGTAGACGTCAATCGAGGCGATTTGGGTGTTTCCCGACATTGTTATAGAAATGAAGTCCACCAATGCCTTATTTTGTCGCGTTAGCAAATTTCGTGATTGGGAAACGCTGTTAAGTGATCAATGGAGAGGGATAACAGCAACCTTACCTGTCTGTCATTTCCATAGCTGTAACGTTGATAGACAAGTTCTCCTACGTTGAGTGCGTGACTTTTAAGCCTAGACATGTCATCGTGGGATAGTTTCAATAAAAACGGTATTGTGTCTTGTGATAGGTACAACATGGCTTCTGCGGTGCCGTCTTCCACAAGGCATCTGTACAAATATTATCAATATGTATCAATATTATCAATATTATTATTACATTATATTTTACATAAGTTCTCGTAGCCCAAAATTCCCCTCGTTTCACTCGACTTCCTATTTTCGTTACAAACCAGACAAATGTGGGTCACCATACATTTTTTGTTTCATAGACCCGACCTCTATATTAAGGAAACTTCTAAATTACGGACACCTTTTTTCGGCACTTGGGTATCCATACTGCGAGAGTAAAGCAATAATTCCCAGTATTCAAACATAATAAAAGTTGTGCAAGTACCTTGCTTCGGCAGAGAACGTGAATCCCCCTGTGTTAGCACACCCTTGTGAACATTCCTCTCTGATGATCACGTGACCACACCTGGCACACTGCCATCGCAGCGATACTTTCTGTACAGCAGTAACTCTACAGCGTACCTGAGATATGGTGTGTATACGACTGCCTGATGTCTCGCATTTGACAAAGTCAATCAAAAGTCGCTGAGGAACGCTGCTCAGTTGAGGTTGCTTTATTAAACTCTCGGATGAGCATGCTCTTGAATTGCTTCTGCTGGCCCTATGTACTGAAGGCGCAAGATGCTCAGTGGCTGGTTCGTCAATTGTTAACGAAGAACACGCATCGAATGAACAATAAATGTTTCCTCCACGAGAAAGTTTGCTTAGGAAGCGACGACAGGTTATCACAGCTCCTTTAGATAATATAACACGATAATATTAGAGACTATTATATACTACTTTCAAATATTTTACATGCTTTTGTTGTACACTTTACCTTTTTCTTCGTAGTAACTGCTTTTTAATTTTTCCCTTCTTTATACTTTAATAACACCTATAAACCCGCTTTGCACTAAAGACTGCTGGCGGTACACGCAAGATTTCTAACGCCTGGTGGCTTTCCGACACTGGCTTCAAGCACACCATACCGGCGTTACGTTATGCGACACAAATAACTTAATGTATTAATAACAAGCATTACCTGGAATGAGTCCATCAATATACGAAGCTCGACTTAAATCCATATATACGTCAATAGTATTGGGTGACTCTAAATCCTGTAAGCGTAGGAACACATTCTTGTTGCCAAGGTAACCAAAACCTACTTCCAATTGCTGAACTGTTGCTTCGTGTAATGGACCAAAGCGAGGCACTAGCACATTGTTACCACGTAACATCTGACAAGTAATGTCTGACATGCGCAGTTCACGGCTTAGAATCCGCCCTCTGAAGTTGACCTGCTTAGTACTAGACTCCTCCCTGAGAGCGAAGCAAATATTTCAGAAATAGAGCATAAGCCATGATTTTTCTAATAAAAAATTGCTAAGGTAAAACAATCATATGTGGTACATTTGACATGACCTGCAATTCAGACCTGTATTCAGATATACATGCAGGGTTTTTTAAGAGGCCCAATGGAAAATGTGTGTCACGTGGGATCCTGTCTACGTCCCTGAAATATATTTTATTGCTTTTTTGAAACATATTGGAAAAATGCTAAAAACTATTTAGAAGAATGTTAAGTAGCTCGTGATTTAGCAGTGACACATTTTCATCTTCCCTTTGTGCCGCGCTCTCACTCTTGTCTATATTACTATTAGCCAAATCTAAGACTTACCGAGCTTTGATCGTATAATCTGATTCTTCGCTTTTATTTAAAGTCAATATAGCTTGGATAGTCTGTATCTTGTCATCCTCATCACACATGAATCTTTCCTTTGCTTCTTCCATTGCCTTGCCAACATTTCCCTTTTCTTCTTCCCCAATGTTTTGAGCACGACAAACCTGCTTTACATCCATGGATGACGTGACATCAAGAAGGGCTTTACTTGTATAGTTCATAGCTTTTGTTATGGATGAAGATTTTTTACTTGAAGAACTTTCTTCCAGGATGTAAAAACATCCGTCAAGAAGAAAGGGATACCAAGAGACACTGTGATGTTGCAGCCGCAAGGCAATGCTTTTACATTTGACAGTGAACTCTGATAAGTCATTAGAATTAGAATTAGAACCAAGACCTTGCTCATGGCCAAGGTGTTGTTCTACTTGCTCACAGCTCGAGATTGCTAGCACTTTGATGTCCACTGCACATGCGTAAAAGACCCTTTGTTTCTTTTTCAGCATAAGGTTTTCTCGATGACGAACAAGAAAGAGCGCTTTGCACATGAACACCTGCGTATTGTCAGGTATTTTGATCAAGGAAACATGTGATGTCGAAGCGTTGTCTTCCATTGGCTCATTATTATTATCCATTGCAATCAATGATTTCTTGATATTGTTTTCTTTGAATTGACAGTTAGTCGACGTGTTATACTGACTTGCTTCCACTGGACTTTTATTTTTGCCTTCAGCTTCAACGACTGAATGCCCTGTTGCTCTGCTTAAGTTTGGCTTTTCTTTCAAAAGAATTTCCAAATCATCAATCTTTGCTTGAAAATATATTCTAGTCTTTTTGCTACCCGACAAGTTATTATACGCTGAATTCCGAAATTGTTCGATTACGGCTGTAAATCTTTTTAATTTGACGATGCAACCTCTGTAATCCATCAAACTTTTATCTTCGTTCACCGAGTCCCCATTTCTGTACGGTTTTGCAATGAGGAGAGGAATGTTACCAGTTCGGTCGTATAGCTTAAGGTAGCCAGTCGTTGGTGAGGCTCTTAGACATCCTATGACAAACTAAGAAAATGAGTATCATTATTAACTTTGTTATAAGTACAGTAAACTATCGTTACAGCCGACACCATCGGGACCGTCGCTGGGTGTCGTAATAGCGAGTGTAAGCAATGGCAAGAGATAAATACATAGATCGTATTAGACATTTTATAGAGTTCGTGCTGAGGTAAACACTTAAGATTCAAGGACTATTCAAGGACTATTCAAGGACCCAAAAATGAATTTTCAAGGAGTATGTTCAGCTAAATATGCCAAGGTTTTACGAGGTAGTTTCACATGGCCGACTTTCAGATTTTCTAATCTTTCTGACTAGATCTATTTCAGAACCATGCAAGTAATGATCAAAGCAAAAATGCTAGTAGTTTTCAAGGAGTTTAAGGAGTAGCACGAACCCTGATTTTAGGGTAGAATACGCGGGTGGATATTTTGCACAAAGACGAGAAAAAATGCACTCGTATTCCACCCTAAAATGTCTAATAAGTTATTTATTATGCAACTGAGCTTACTTTTTCCCAAAAAGAAGGCTTCAACATTGATTTTTGAACTAGCATTTTTGAAAACCGTTTTTCTTTTACTGTAGAAAATAACCTAGACTACGAATATCGCATGATATTTGTACTCGTTCCAGGCTTTCTCACAAGTTGATCACAGCTGTACATAAAAAGTATTATTAGTATTAGTACTTACTGATTCGTTTAACAAATCCTTGCTGGGTATGATCTGGTATAGCCATTCATTGGATCCACCACTAGCATCGCTAGTACCAGAACGCCATGCAACACCCTTACTCTTCTCCATCACCATATCGCGAACCTCCATAATAGTGTATATGGATGGTAAGTTTATAGAACCGTGTCTCGTTGGATTACAAGAGTGCGGGTGATCAAAAAATTCTCCGTAAATATTTCTTGGTTTGTCGCAAAAGGACGTCGAAGCTTTGGCGGCGTTGAGGAGTTTTGTAATGACCGACTCTTTCTTCGGTACTTTCCGATGTACTTCTGATTTTGAACTACAAGGAAATAAAAACATCGCACCAGAACTACAATAATTGTTCACAAATTAGTGGATGCACAAACTAGTTTTATAAACAGATAAAACCCACACTATACTGGTATCTTTATATGACAACTCCATTACTACAGACTCCTAACGAGTCGTCACCACGTTTTTATTACTGCGCGCGAAGACGTTTGGGAAGGAGAGAGAAAAAGTGACGCTTTTTTCTTCCTTCCTTTCCTTTATACACCGCGAACTCACTAAATCCCCCTCATCAACTACAGCGCGAGATCAATTACAGCGTAAGAGTAGCGATCTGGGGTACGAGCCTGCCTTTTAATACCAGTATACAGAATCATCGATTCAATTGATCTTATCAGAATAAAGGTGGAGAAAGCAAATTCGATCTGCAGACGACCTGAGCGAAGAAAATCAAAGGACTAGTTCTAGTTCATAATGCGGTATCTAAGCAACGCTTCCAGGATTGTTAACGCATGCGCTGCTAATGTTCCGCCTCTCACCGAGCTCGATATCGTACGTGAGTAGAGTTGTTTGTTGCTTCGAGGGTTTTTTCTCCGGGTTCTCCGGTTTTCATATCCCTCCACGAAAAATTAACATTTAAATTCTAATTCGATCAATCGGCTGCCTTATCAATTGCCGGGTTGCGAAACCTTTTAGGCAGTAAGCCGTCCACCCATGAGTGGTAATTAAATGTCGATCTAAACAACTATTAATATAATGCTATTGAATATGAAAAGGCAGTGTTTTACCTCATTCGCTGCTGACTTGATGAATATCCAGTTAAGCTGCTTGGTCTAAAAGGGAAATAGAGAAGTATGTTAGTTTGATTGAAAACCCCTGTCTAATTTGCGAAAAGCATTTTTAGTGTTTATTCGCTTATCCAAAGAAAGTTTGTCAACCATCTCTTACACCACCTGGACTGTGGGACTGGGGCGCCACATGAGACGAGATCAAAAGCAGCCTTTCTTAGTTCCTACCTGAATATTGACGAAAACATGTGGGAGAGTTTCTCACTAGACTGTATCAAGTCTATGTAGTCTGGTAAAGATAGATTTTGACCATGTAATATGAGAGTACTGACTGGAAAAACTGATGGCTGTGAGAATAAAAATAAACATGACCAGAATCAATGTTATAGTACATATATATATAGTAAGGGCTTCACTGCTGCCCTTGCATTCTGTCTATAGGATTGCTAGCGCTGTTGTTGCTGGTGTTGTCGTTGTTGTTATCGTTGTTGTTGCTGTTGTTGTCGTCGTCGTCGTGGTGTAGACTATAATAAACTTTATTTAACACAGAATCCATAAAGTTAAAACTTATTTACAATGGAGCTGTAAAAATTATGCGTCCCCGGGTGGGCGATGGCAAATTTTGTAATATTTTCGTACATATAGTTTTTATCGTATGACCCGCATCTGCCCGGGCGCGCGCTCTTAAAAAAACTTTTGGGGAGATGGCGTGAGCAGGGCCGTACGACTTTGACTTGCTCGAAGCCTGCGACCGTATTGACATAATTTGCAACTTTTAAAATATCTTTTTTATTTAGGGTCAATTGATTAAATGCTTATTAACAGAGTTAGGTCGGGCCGTACGGGAGAATATTTGGCTCTCGGTCATTTGTACGGCATCACCTCGAGCCAAATATTATCCCGTACGGTCCTCCCACTCAGTCAGTAAGTACATAGTATTACAGACCGTCATTCTCCTGAACATGATTTCCTTGTATAAAGTAATGCCCCAGAAAACACATCAGCATAGCGGATTAAACTAATCTTATGATAAACTCTTGTTACGATACGACAACTATTTCAAAACAATGGCATACTATACCTTCCATTCAGATGCCAAGAGAGAAAACCGTGAAATACGAAGAGTACTGAATGTGCAACAACACAAACCAACTACAGACTAAGAAGAAAGACAAAGTATATTAAAAAAGGATATTTTATATTTCGAAAGTCATTCCAGGGGTTCCCAAGGAGAATTTGTGGCATAAAATCCTAAATCCAAGGGATCCAAAATCCAAGGGGCCTTACGAAGAAGTTGTGGAATCTGAATTGAACAAATACAATACCTTAGCTTTCTTTACCAGATGCACATTGTTTATAGCTACCTCAGCACCATCCCGTAATCCACGACCATGGTGCGGACAGGGCTGATGGACTGTGTACAATCTGAAGAAAAGTCARTTGTCAATAGTCAATCTAACTTGTATTAGTCAAATCCAACTATCAATACTGCGTTCTGATTGGATGAGCTACTACTAGGCTATAAGTTATAACCTAATAGTATCGAAAAGTGCCGGCTTTGAAAACCAAAACATTTGATTTCACTTCAAATCACAACTTGTTACATCTATGTATTTTTCGACCGACTAGTTGAATTTGACTAAAATAATTACTCCTCTCGCCCTAATGGCCTATGAGTCAATAGACCACTCGGGCTCGAGGACTCACTACTAATTTGTTTTTCATTTTCTGTTTTTGTAATTTCGGTTTCTGATCAAGTTGTTTAGGCAGATGCACAGAAGGCCAATTCCCCATCCTTTGATCCTTGAAGTATACAGCTATTTAAAGCGAAAAAGTTGAAGGCTTTGTTGCATGTTGCCTTTGTGTTGCTTACTTATATTGAAATGTATATTCATATGTAAACAATGTCATCACAGAAGAAATTATAACGAAAAACGTATAGAAAACGTTAAAGAAAATTCCGGCATATTGTCGCGACCTTTCGCTGATTGTATTCACATAGCCCGTATTGCARTTCGGGCTTTGTATGCAACATGCAACATCTCTTCCAGCCTATAAATTTTATGAAATCCTGCAAACAACCTCATAGTTGTTATAAGCCAGAGCGGCGGCTAACTCATAGATCAAAGTGTTTACCCTGTTACGAGGTTTTGCAGAGAGAGAGGAAAACTAGGAAACCGGAGAAAATCCTCGAATCAAATCAAATCTAGAGCTGAGTGAAGATAAAGTATGCCTTCATTCTCTTACCTTACTTTGTTGTCGAGTTCGTACGTCCCCATTTCAAGCTGTGGGTAAGACTTGGTGATGATGCCCTGAAAAATATTATAAGAACATGCGTAATAGGTAAATTTCAGCCTTGTATGAAACGACTGAGGAAGAGGGCCAATGGGCCTTTCACAACTTTAAAGAGCGTAAAAAATGAGCCAGCTCAACTAGAAACCGTGGACAGCTGTTTCGGCCTGTATTGGGCCTCGTCAGCACGGTGTATCTAGTGAGCTGGTAAAATCCCACGAAAAAGTAGTACATGAGAGATGAGGCGGTAAGCCGTGTGGGATGGGCTCGGAAATATATTACAGCATTTAAGACATACGTCTACTCTGCTTGGCAGAATGTACTTCTCTTTTTTACGAGAAGGAAAGAACGCTTCTACTTAGCAGCGCAAGACTAAAGTCAAACGTCCTTATCATCCATTTTTATCACGCTTCTGACAATATTCACAGTATTGATTCTACATAGAGTAAGAATAACCCGAAAAGATTTTATAGTTTGAGTGCGGCTTCTTGAAGTTATAAAGGGCTTTCCATACCATATGATAATGCTGTGACGTACGAGGAGTAATCATTTAATATTCAAAACATTACTGGCACAGATAAATTAAATTTCAAATAGCTCATAACCATCTGTAGGATAATAAACTATCTATCAATTATTTTTATAACAAAGATATGAATTTGCCTAAAAATGAACCAACATATCGCACTGTTGTCGAAATACTACAAAAACTAAATTTTGCTTCATAACATTAATGCATCTTTTATATGTATCTTACTTTGTAGGAAATTGTCAAAGGCTCGTACAGTTCTGTTTTCATGAGCCTTGATGCACTCTTTTCTTGGTCAGAGGTATCATCAGTTAGCACATGCTCATTCTCTCTTTTAAATCGCTTTGCCGAGCTCTGGAGAAAAAACAAGTACGATATGACATACATTGAAAATCTGAACAAAGCTAAATCCTCAGAAAAGTGATGAACTGCGCTACAAGAAATTTCATCACATAACATCAGAACTGGCCCCCGGTAGAGCGAATCTAAGGCAATTAATATTCACTGGTTATAAGACTATTTCTGACTAAGAAATTAAAGGGGCATTTTGCAGAAGCAAAATGTTAAAAAAAAAAGAGCAAACCGCGATATTCCAGAAGAAAAAAATAAGGGTAAAAGAAGAAAGGAAAAATACAAGCCGCCTCGTTTTTGGGTAATTCTAGTTATTTAAGAAGGTTCAGAATTCAAAACTAGTCTTATAGTCCTCTGTTGTTTGGGCAATGGTTATTTAAGAAAGTTCAGAATACTCCAGTTTCGAGTTATCTTTGCTCAGTCTTATACCCCATTCACACCTAAACGTGTTTAGTTAAACTATGTTTTCATTAGGAAAAAAATTGAGAAACTGGAAACCTACAATATAATGAAACTTTCTAAAATATTGTCACAGCAAGACAAAGGATAGTTTACATGCATTATTTCACCAAATATTGTGCAGTGTTCGTAGATAGTTTTCCAAACCTGTTTAGTTAAACCACTTTTAAACATGTTTAAGCCTTGGTGTGAATGGGGTACTAGTCTCGTTTGTGCGTCATAATATTCAGCTACATGTATTCAAGCACAGCCCATGGCATTTTAATCACCTCGTATTGTTCCGTAGTAGGTACATTCTTACTGTACATTGAAACTTAATAAAAGAAAAGAACACATTTGTTAATGTACACAATCGAGGCTAAGACTGAGCAAAGACGAAATGGGAGTATTGAAAACTAGTCCACTAGTCCTCTGTTTTTGGGGTAATTCTGGTTATTTAAAAAGGTTCAGAATTAAAAACTACTCCTCTGACTAGTTATTCTAACTTCGGCCGGTTTCTTCATCATTCCACATTTTAATTATTGGTCACTGAAGACGCAACTGTCATCTTTTTTCAACGTCATGAATCATACTTACACTTGCAACTTTGCTCTGTAGAATTTCTTCCCCTAGTTTTCTCTTTTTCTGTGCAGTAGAATGATACTCTGGCCGGTAATCCAAGAAACGAGATGACTTGGTACAGGCAAGGATCTTGCGCTCGTTTTTCGTTCCCTGAAATATTTGATAAAGAATTATCATTCTTAGTTTATAATTATTTTTAATTGTTATTAAGTGAAGCCAAGAGACCTCCAAGAAACCATGATTATAGTCTCTTGGTAAAGCTGCCAAAGTCCCAACGCGTTTGGGCACAAAATTCCCGCCAAATTTACATGACTTAAGACAAAATAGAGTTTCTCTCGCGGTATTTTCAGGTTGCTTTGTCAAAAATAACACAAAATACAACATGGATAAATCAATGTCATATATACAAAATGAATTTGTGTTCCCCGTGGGTGTGTTATCACAGTTTCTTTGTGCCTACAGTGATACGAAAAGAACTGAAGCAATGTTATGCCAGAAAAACAAAGGATTAACCTGAAGTCATCATGTTTTACCTTATTCATCGTTGTTTCACACACATCAGTAAGAATGTACTCCTTCTCCAGATGTAGAAAATTAACCCAATTCATAAACTGGGATCCCTGTATGGGGAAATGCAACGATGTTAGGCCCTGGCTAAACAAGGAAACATGTTTCCAGAAACATACTTTCTTAAATGTTTCCAAAGGTGGCAAAACTGTCAGGGAACATCGGGAAGCATGTTTACTCAATATCAGTTAGCGAATGCGCACTTTCAAGATAGAGCTAGCRTTGCTAAGTAACGAACTTTTAGAAAGTTGACTTTCGTGGCTAAACGAGGAAACATTGGGAAACACTGGGAAACATTGTTTCCATACGTCTTGGAAGCAAAATTTGTTGCACGTCGCATGCAATGTTTCGCTTGTGGCTAAACTTGGAATCATCGGGGAACATGCGCGCGGGAAACATGTTTCTGAAAACTTGTTTCCTCGTTTAGCCAGGGCCTTAGGAGCATTGCTGTTGAAATGGACCAATCAAATGCTTATTTAATTATTGGCCAAGTATATGCCATTAATTTGACTAGACCGACTTGGTACACCCTGTATATTCTCCATATAGTTTCCTTCTCTTCACAAAAAAAAGCACTTTGAATTCATATTATTTAATCAAGTTCTATAGGTTTGTTTATTTGACAAAGGATAGTACAGTAAGTGTTACTCTTGCAAAAGAAGGCCATTTTGAAATTAGTTTAACATGTAGTAGCTGCCCATACAAACCTGCACAACAACTGATGTGCTTATTTGCCTTTCTGAGCAAGTCAACTGAATGAAGAAGAATGGATTGCTCTTGGCAATGCTGTGTAATGACTTACACACACTTACACATGCCTTTCTGAGCAAGTCAACTGAATGAAGAAGAATGGATTGCTCTTGGCAATGCTGTGTAATGAAAACATATTTAATTTAAACTATCGCAGTAGGTATGTGATGTTATAATAATTTTAAAACTATAGGTAGTTAATTAATTAACTAAATTAATTTCCACATAGTTTAAATAATGCAAACAATGAAGTACTGTAGGAACATCAGTCAGGGGATTCGAGATTAAATATTCAAAAAATCTGGTTCTAATGGAGAAAGGTTACTCTTAAAGTTCATATTTGCCTGTTAAAAGAGCACTTTGGACCCATGTATGCAAAAGAAGGTTCAGTCATCTTACAGCAGTGAGGGGTCCCACAAAMAAGGACTGTAAATGACACTGACTATGCAGTTCCAGAATGGAATAATTTAGTAGGGAGCATGGGGCTGCTATGCTCAGGCAAAAAGAGACTTACTATACCTCTTCTATTCTTACCTGTGTACTGGACTTATTGCTGTCAGTTTGCCATGTAGGTTTAGACTTGCTTTTTTATTGATTCTGTTGAGAAATTAAATAAATGATTATAAGCACGAACCAAAAGCAAATGGAAGTTGATCTCCAATGGACTACTTCGACGATGCAGCAGCCATCTTGGATTGTAAGGCATTATGGGTCATCCAGGGGGAGAAACAAAACAAATATGCTGAAATGACGACCCCACAGTTTGAGAAATTTCCTCAGTCGTGGAACTGTCCATATTTTTAAATTCCTTTTTTTTTTTGTCATATTTTCTTTTTATGAACCATTAATTTCAATCGACACCTTTATTGTAACAAAGCTTTGCCTATTGTGATTCAAAATGGGTACTCCATCATTGAAGTAGTCCATTTCCAACATATAAATAAGACATGTTCAYGTAAATAGACAGCCATTTTTCCATCATATTATAATTTATCTCAATGAGAAAMATACAGTATAGTAAATTGTCAAACTCATTAATAATTCATGATGAAAACAGAACAGCAATCCCGACCTTGAAGAGTGTTGTAAATCTGATACAAAATTGTGTTCATTTGCATAAACTTTAAGTTGGATTTTCTTGGCCAGATTCACTATAATTTTAAAAACTTTAGTGAAACACAAAGGAACTTACCAAGACATTTGACAAGCAATCTACAGTATTCGTGTCCATGTTGTATCCGATATACAAACTATCAGGCATCCCAGCCACTTTTTAGACAAATTTGATAGGAAATATTGGCTGTGCAAGTTCTAAATATAGGAAAATATAGGATTTTTTCCAAAAAATATATGCACTTTATAGGTCGCGTAACCAGGGATCGGGAGGGTGCACAGGCAATGATTTGCAGAAGTAAAAAGCCATAAAAAAAACAGAACCAAAAAAAAAAGGGGGGGGGGGACTGTTTATTTCCTTCACCAAATATGCTAAACAGTGTAAAATATAAATGTATCAATCAGCAGT